GAAGCCGCAACTGGATTGATTTCTTGGCTTGCTTCCAGTGTGCCATTGTGCTGTTTACCCTTGGCTGCTCGTCCTCTTCCAAGTTCTTCCATTCTATGTTAATAGTGGCCTATCCGACGTCTTCTAGTATTCCTTTATTCCATTGCTCAATGGTCATGATGGCTTTCTGTTCTTTCTCGTCCCTGTTTTTCCTGAACTTGTCTCAGTAATACCACCTTAATTGTATTACATATTATTTTTGTTAAGTTTGTTGAGAAGAGACAGTAAGCTAATCGTTCTGTAATTTTTCAAGTCCTTCACGTCTCCTTTTTAGAGAATTAAAATGATGTTGGCATTCTTCCAAGATTCTGGTACCCTTCTTTTCAAGAGACACTTCATATATATATATATTACAAGGTGCCCAATTTTTCTAACACAACTTCTCCACCATCTTTCAGGAGGTCCGTTGTTATCTTATCCTCACCGGCGGCTTTGCCTCTTTGCATTCTTTCTAGGGCTTTCCTTACTTCCCCAGTCATCACTGGTAGGATGTCGAATTCCTCTAGACTATTATTGTTTCTCATAATTTCATCCTGGTTGTTTTGGCTTCTGTACAGCTCTCTGTAGAACTCCTCTGCAATCTCGACTATCCTGTCCATATTGGTTATAAGTGACATTGCCTTCCTTATTCCTTAATGCATACATCCGATTTTTGCCTATGTACAATTTTGCCTTTGCTACTTTTAGGCTTTTGCTGTTTTTTACAGCTTGCTCAATTCTTTCTATGTTATACCTTCCGATTTCAGCCACCTTACGCCTATTCCAAAGTGCCCCTAGCTCTATATTGTCAGTTGCATTTGAGGCTTTCATGGTTTGTCGTCTCTTAAATGAGCTTTTTCGTCTCCTGAGATAGTTTGCCAGTGTCCTGTCTACTGACTGTACGTCAGACTTCCATTACACACTCTTTGATGATACTGGTAAGATTATTGTTCATTGTTTCAACGTTATTGTCACTTACCTCGTTTAGTGCCTCGAATCTATTCTGAAGCGAAACTCTGAATTTCTGTACTTTCCCTCTCGCTGCTAGCTCATTAAATGGCTTCTTGCATATTAGTGTATGCCTTTGCTTTTTCAAATCTAGGTGAATACGAGCTCTTACCATTCTATGGTCACTGATTGATTGATTGATTTGTGGGGTTTAACGTCCCAAAACCACCATATGATTATGAGAGACGCCGTAGTGGAGGGCTCCGGAAATTTCGACCACCTGGGGTTCTTTAACGTGCGCCCAAATCTGAGCACACGGGCCTACACCATTTCCGCCTCCATCGGATCTATGGTCACTGCATCGAATCTTGCCAACTACATCTACATCTTGTACAATGCCTGGGTGTGCACACAGAATGAAGGTCTATCCCGTTTTTAGTTTCGCAATTAGGGCTTCGCCATGTCCACTTACGATTAGCCTGTTTATTGTAAAAGGTATTCAAGATCGATTAAAAAATTATTGCGATCTGCGATCTCTACTAATAACTCCCCCTGGCGTTTTTAAAGTCGATGCGGTATTCCTCCAATTCATGGTCACCGGCCTGTTTCTTGCCTACTTTGGCATTATAGTCGCCCATCAGAATAGTATACTGTGTCTTTTCTTTATTAATGGCTGAGTCCACGTCTTCACGGAAGCGTTCAACCGTATGATTATCATGGCTAGATGTAAGCGCGTAGGCCTGTACCACCTTCATCTTGTACCTTTTGCTAAACTTAATTATGATGCTTGCCATCACCTCATCACAGTTCGAGTTCTCAGAGTGCAGTTTATTAATCTAAAAGAACTCATTGTTTCTCTTTAGTGTCTCTTTACGTGTGAAGATTGAAAATGGGCTTCTAACATGCCGAAGCTCGCGTTTTTTTTTTTTTATAACAACGCCTCCCCTCCCCCTCCTTAGGTAATGTAGTCAGAAATTTTGACAGACCCCCGCATGCCGTTTTAACCGATAAGGCGCCGCTGATGCTGTATGCAGTGATTCCCTGTATTATTCAGGGGCTTTATGTATGCGCCGTAATCGCCCCCTCCGTCCCCATATATTCCGCCGTGTGAATGCTTTTCTGACGTGTTTCTGGCATCCGTGCGTCGAGGCGCGCAACTTGCCGCAAAGAGCTTCGTCATACGCCGTCGTCACTGTCGGCTTGGTATGGCAAGCGCGGCCAGCGCGACCAACGTTTGGCACAACCGCGCCGTGTCGAGGACTCAAAAATAGAGCAGCAGCACTGCAGCAACACGTCGCCGTCGCCGTCGCGCAGTTTGTCTTTGGGCTTGTCGCACCGTGCTTGGGAACGTGGCGGCTTGACGGCCGTTTCATTTCTCTGTCGCGGGGCCTCGTTTGCACAGCGCGACGCTGTGTGGCGACGGCAGCCGCGGAGGTCTTGTTGCAACTGTGCGTGACGTTCTGAAGTCAGGTTTGCCCTAGCGAAGCGCGTGGCGGCTGCTTCATCATAATGGTGGCACGTGCATACATGTTGTGACGTGACTTTGAAAGGGGAAAAGGAAGGGAAAAAAAGCGCAGTTTCGTTACTGCCTCTCTCAATGGAGGGCACCTCCACAGTTCTGCGCAGGGAATGGGAATTAAAGAGACAGAAGAAAGCGGTATGAGAAGGGTGGTGAAAAGCATTCGATCGCTTCTATTACGCACGCGCACAAGAAATTCAACGTGGCAGACGCGATACACCGAAAGGCCGGCGAGAAGCCGGGGCTGAGGAGATGCACCCGTGAAGAGAAAAAAGGAAAAAGGAAAGGAGTGAAGAAAGAGAGGGAAAAGGAAGGAAAACCCCCACTGGACAAGTGGAAAGAAGTTAGGGCGCTCCTGAACTGATAGAGGAGGGGAGAGATTGTCTGCTCTGACGGCGAAATGCGCAACGGGCCGACGAAGGATAGGAAGAAGGAAAAAAAAAGGCCGTCAAGCAGCTCGGTGCTTTACGTAAACAAAGTCACGTGGGACTCCGAGCAGGTAGCGTCGCACGAAAGAATTGACTTTGAGTTAGGGGGAAAAAAAGACGAAATAAGCGCACGCGCGCAAGAAGACCTGTATGCCACTCGCAGTCGACTGGGACTACCACCAAGAAGGCCAGCGGTACAGAGATGTGCACGTTCTAAAACGGGCCAGAGTAGAATTCACGATGTGCAGGTGGTTCGTTCAGGGAAACCGTGCGGCAAGAGCCTCGAAGGTGAGGAGGGGCACAACAGCGAGATTGCACTCGTGGGAGCCAACCAGTAGGGCACTGAGGATGTCGTCCCTGGTTTGGATGTCAGGTTGCTGCGAGGTAGCGGGCTCAGTCGCCGTCGTAAAGTTACGGCGAGACACGGTTTGGTTCGTCTGTTTCGCGAAACGAGATCAGCACTGTACGCGCCAGCTTGTTTTGGTGCATTTTTTTTTTTGAAAACATGCGAAGTCTGCGTTGGCTGACAAAGTGTCATTCCGTCAACTACTTTAGTGTCGCTTTAAACACTGCCAAAGCTCACAAAATTTTTTTTACGTTATTTTACCTTATTCCACGAGAATTGATACGTTCAAGTTTTCCTTGCTGCCTCATACGATTATCGGCTGGAACAAGTTTGCTGTCAATGTATTTGTTAATTGTGAGTCAGCTTAACTTTTTCAGCGTCGTTTGGAGTTGACTCGTACGTAGTATTGTCTTTCATAATATTTTATATTGTCCTTTAACATTCCGCGAGGGCTTACAGTATAGTAAATAAAGCTCACTCATTCAAAAAAAACAACATGTAACTGAGCTAATGGCAACAATACTCAAGAAACTAAACTCACGCAGTGCTTTAGCTAAGCTCATTTCCTAACCGCTGTAACAGTGCGGCCACACTCATCGCCTTAACCTGTACGACGGTCGGCGCGGCGCCTTATATACTTTTCTGCGGCAGCGTTGCTCAGCAGCAACTTGGAGATCCACTTGTTGCCGATTTCCCGGTCGTGATATCATTTCATTTAGCCTAGCAAAATTAGCCATAATAAGGCAAACCTTATCGCGGCTAATCATTGGCTCGTCTGATGACTTGTAGTTGGTCCTCGATGTTTGAGCTAAGTAGTGCGGTCTCCCACTGCCCCTTTGTTGACGGCCGTGTACGCCTTATCGGTAAATCACCTATACTTCTCACGATGGCATTATGCATTATCAGCAGCAGCCTGACTGCTCCCGCTGTAGGATAGATGTCTCTCCCACGTTTTTCCATGTTGTCCAAGTTTCTTAATCTCCAAGGAGGCAGCAAAGTCCATAGAGTTCCTGGAATGAGGAGACATCCCACCTAAGGTTGAAGCGGAACTTGCACCGCCGTACACCGTTTCGAACAATTAACCTTTATTCCTCCTTCTCGTCGTCTATCCTTTACATCTCCCTCTGGCGTACTTAAATTTTCCTTCTCTTTCCATGTGTTGATTAATATTCATGCCCAGGGATTATATTGGCTTATTTTTGCATGGCCTGCCCATGCCTTCTCTATTCTGATATGTCCCTCACAAAATTTGTGAAAGGTGATGGTAACGAACGTGTGTTTCCTGGCCCACTCCTCTTTTGTTCTTTGCGGCAATTTTTTAACGTGGCTCGCGGCATCGTCCCCAGATGTGGTGACGTCACGCATGAGAGTCACCAAATTTACGCGTGCAACTTTTGCGCTGGCGGACTTGCAGCCTTCGTGTAGATTCCTTGTGATGCAAGGACACTGATACAGTTGTGGTTTTTTTTTTTTTTTTACTGTACGGTATATAGTGCGTACGATGCCTGAGAAACTCATACACTCACTGGCTTGCTAGGTGTTTGGGAAGTATTTCTATACGTCTTGGAGGTTTGTGGCCGAATCTCATTAGGTGACGTACAGCTGGACATACGTATACAATTGTTATATGGACCTATACGCTCGTGGAAGGCGTTGTCCAGCGCTAATGTACGTGTGTGCCCGCGCTACTATTTGACGCAGAGTGCAAAAATACATCTTGCGCGTGTTTGCATATGTGCAGCTCGAGCAGCGGCAGCGGCTCCCGTGAACGAAGAGACTGGGCAGGGTAAAGATGCCGAGGAGCCTGAACTGCAGCTGCGAGTAGCCGGAAAGTTGGAAGAACCTGACAGATCGCCGCAAGCAGCCGACAGCGGTTGCGTCGAGGTCGTTATGACAACCGTCGACGACGAGGACTTGGAGGATGGAGAAATCGTAGACTAAAGGTTGAACAAGTTTAATGGACACAATAAAAGACAGTGACAAAAAAAAGTAAAGGAACAGTGAGGGGCGGAGCAGCCGAATTTTGGGTGGTCTGCTTGAGCTCAGGAGGGCGCCAGGCAGGCGCTGCTGCGGCCATAGAAGCCGCGCGTGCCGTCTGGGCCCCGGGGCTGGCGAAGCACGGGCCCCAGCCCGTCGGGGCGCTTCTTGACCCACAGGCCGGCAACGCTCACGTCACCCTGGCTGTGGGACTTGTGTCGGGGGGCCAGCAGCGGCGACGAGGGGCGCGGGGAGCTGCAGGCTGCGCCGCCCGGGCCAGGCACTCGGACGCTGCGGTTGGCCCTGCCGCCGGCGGCCTGTCCGCTGCGCTGGCCGTCGCCCTCTACGGCGGCGGCGGGTGTACCGCCCCAGCGGCGGCACACCCGCCGCCGCCGGCAGGGAGAGCGGCAACACGCGCAGCAGAGGGCTGGCCTGCCGCACGGCAAGACTGGCTGCCTCGTGGTGCTCGAACTCGACGACGGCGGCGGAGCAGCCGCTGGCTTCCGGGTGTCGCTGGAGGAATCGCTTGGCGCAGGGCGGCACGGGTCCGCCGGGTCGCAGCAGGCGCAGCAGCGAGATGGGCCCGCAACGCGAGAAATCTCCGCCACCGCCTCGACGGTGACGCGGTCCACCAGGGGGAAGGCGACCACGGTGCGCGAGGGCGCCGTCTCGTCGTGATCGGGCAGTGGTTCGCGGCGGCGCACCTTCGTGCCCTCGGCGTTCACCTCGAGCCGCGTGGACGACGAACGCAGCGCCTCGCGCACCAGCTCCCAGTTCTTGGTCAGGCTCTTGACCTTTCGGAACGAGGCCATCAGCTTGAGGCTCACGTAACCCTCCCGGTTGCGTCGAACGTGCTTGAGCAGGAACGAGTCGCGCAGGATGTTCTCGTCCGAAAAGTAGTACTCGATCTGGGCCACGATGCGCTGCGTCAGATCTTCCTCTTCCTCGGCGGAGCCGTTGAGCGAATCGAGGCCCGAGTCCTTGTCGTGATTATCCTCCTCCTCCCAGGGCTTCTCGTCGGCCGTGCCCATTGCTGGTCGCTGCGCGATGACCGGTGGCTGATTCCCGAACGCTGGTCTCTGCGGCCCCGCTCGTCCTCGTCGCCTCCCGCCACGCTACTGCGCCTGCCCAATGGATGCTGCAGTCCCTGCCGCTGCCGGTTATAACCCCTCCGTCGTCGTCGTCTTCCTTCCTCGCGCCGGCTGCCCCCACGAGCTCGTATCAATGGCACATCGAGCACGGGATTCACGCGCTCGTCCACTGTTGAGCTCTGACCGCGTTGCCTTGTTTTGGCAAGGCCCCGAACGAGGAAGAAAATGTTCTGCACGTGAGTGCCATTGTTGCAATAAACGCTGTGTAAAAAAATTTTCATTATAAAGTACAGTGTGACCAATCCTCTTTGTGGGTATGAGACAAGATCTGGGCGACAAGACAAGCAACGTTCGAATAGTCGATCAGAAATTGCGCCCGGGGCCGCTGTTTTTTTTTTTTCAACCCTATGACACGTACCCACTTCGGGAATTGACCGAGAATGCTTAGTTAAAATCGAAATTTTCGGTGTTTTCTTCTCCTGTAATTAATTTGTGCATATGTTTCTACAGTGACGTAAATCATGGGGGCGGGGGGGATGCCCCTTTCTAGTGTTCCTCCTTGAGATTTGACTTGCCAGTGAAGGACTACGCAATCTCCATGTGAGAGGCTCCGAAATTGGAAGCCCTTAGAGTACAAGCCCATCCCATTATCTTGTTCCATCCTTCTCCATTCGTTCTTTGCGTTAAAAGAGACAGCTACCAACTCACCCCATTTTTTAATCCATGCTCTCTTTGAAATGCTACAGAGGCTGCAAGTTATGCTAGGTTTTGAAATGCTAATAAAGAATCCCTTATTATAGCATAGTCGCGAGGGCCCGTATTCCTCAGTGCCTCAGTGGCATGTCACCGTGAACCTTCTTGTCTACGAAGACGTGCTCGCGGCACCCTTCGTGTTGTACTTTTCGCCCGTGGCGGGATAAGCCTCGTTTGCTGTCCCGCCGACTTTTGTAATGGGTGCTGTACTGAGAGTTTGATGTTGCCGCAGGCAAAAAAAGTGTTGCGTCTTGTTCGAAAGCAGTACCATGGCCGCTAGATGAAAAAAAAAAAAAAAAACCCGCCAACTTCGGCCTGCTGCGTGCCGCCGAAGCGGCGGGATGGGCCTAGTTCGCCTCGCGCCCGCTCTGGCGCCATCGCTCCTCCTAAAAGAAACGCTTTCACGCGCATTTCTATGCGGGGCAGTAGGCCGTAAATAACGCGTTTCGTAGCTGCACATCACTGATTCGATTTTTAATCGTTATTATAAGTGCCTATTGCACCACATATGTTAACAGCTAGTTTGCCCTAGGAGGGCCAATAATTCATAGAATATAGGCCTCAATGAATGCCGCCCGTTTGCTTTACCTGAACTCTAAATAAGTGTTCTATTGCGAAAATATTGTCCGTAGCTTTACCTCGTCCTTCATGACGAAGCAGCCAACTATGCAAGCACTAAGGGCCCGGACGCTCTTTATTCTGAAATTAGATTTCCCTCTTTGTCTCTGTTACAGGCAATATTGCAACTACGGCCGGTTGGGTAGGTTAGTAAAAATGACTCGGTTGTCAAATCAGTTGCACATAAATTACGTTATTTATTGTGTCATCAGCTGGATCCGTTCGCTGGTGTTTCATGGGCTGGGTGTTGTTCTTTTGCAGGTAGTGCTGATAACCATCAAACACAGTATGGACCACCGTTGGATGCAAAAACAAAGATTTTTATCGTCATTCTCAGTAAAATATAAAGAACACACGACCGACCACTCACTCGGCTTCACTTGCTTCCTCTCCCTGACGGCCCTTGCCGAGAAATATTTCAGCAAAGCATCCCGACGCTGTAGATCGCATGGGAATTTATGGTACTGCAAGGTAACGTCTCTTCCCGCGTTCGACTTGCACAGTGGCACACAACAGCTTCGTGGCATCACACCGCTAGAAAACACGATCCACTACAAACTCGCGCGCAGTAAACACGGCACTCTAGCACAGAAAACATGTGTCTAGCTTCCCACACACACGGTCACACAAAGCAGTGGTCGTGAACAAACAAGCCACACGACAAAGTACACAAACGGTCATCAATCCTGCGGCGACCCCAATGCTGCACGCACCGGCGTCTACTTTGCGTACGGCAGCAATGACATTCCCTAGGTGATGGTCCTTGGCCAGAATTATTCTACAGCCAGGCTTCACGATGCTGTAGATTTCGGGCGAATTCGTGGTACTGCAAGCTAGCGTCTCTTCTCGCGTTTGACTTGCACAGTGGTACACACAGCAGCACAATAGGCTCGTTGCATCACACCGCTAAAAAAAACAAAAAACATCTGCACATGCGCACACTATAAAAACTGTCCTCAAACAAAGGAAACGTAAGGCATACTGCCCCACACATGATCGGACAAAAAAAAAAAAAGGCAGATCCCACGTACAGTGGGAATCGGTGATATGCGAAGCACGAATAAGGAAGGTTGATATGTCAGTTTAAAATCACCACAACGTTACGAGGTGGAGGTAAATGATGTCGTACATGACTTCCGTGTCATGATTATCATGCTTGGATGTGTCGTTTACCTTCATCTATTCACGTCACGTGATGCCAAATTTAGTATATGTGAAGCTAGCGAAACGGCCGCGAGCACGCTATGAACGTGGCACGTTGTCATGCTCTTGCATGACACGCGTGTCATGATTATCAAGTTTCCACCAGTGATATACCTTCGTCATCCATCGACGTCATGTAAACCCCGCTTCGGTATATGTGGAGCTAGCGAAATGGCCGCGAGTGCATCATGAAGGGCCTGTGATGTGTGGTGCGCGTTCAAAGTGCGCGCCTTCGAAAAGTGCGCGAAATTAAAGGATGACCGAGTGCACGTGCTGGGTCGCCTGAACAACGACGACGCCGAGGACCGGTACACGTGAGAGCGTGGAGCGCAAGCATCCAAGACCATAAAGAAAACAAGGGCCAATGGCTGATCACCACGGAGTTTTGAAAGGCCAATCAGAACGAGACAAGTGGGCCAGAGCTGAAGCAGGAGCCTGAGCAGACCAGAGCAAGGGGAGTTCGAAGAAGACGGGGCAAGCGGAGGGTCGTCACCAGACCGGGCGCTGAAGATGGGCCGTCGGGCGTAGGACCCGAGCCTGCAGGTCTTCAACCGGCCAGGGCCTCCTGCCGTCGTGTTCCCGCTCCAAAGGACCGTGGCCATCCGGTCCTGAACTCCTTTCCAGGGCCTGCGGACTTTGGTTCCGGCAGGCGAGCTACAGCCGTCGGGCTCCGGGCCCGAGCTGTGCGCCCAGCTGCTTGACTAGGTCGACCCTGGTTCTCTGACGCGTCACCACCAGCCTGCGTTCTCTCGTCACAGACGGGTCCACACTCCTAAAGCCAGAGCCACCACGTTCCGGCCTGGTTTCTCGACGTGTCGTCAGCAGCCAGCGTTCCTTCATCCCCGTCCTGCCCGCGTCCTGAAGCCGGAATCACCGCGTTCCGGTTTGCTCATCGTCGGCGGAATTCAGCGTGTGGGTGAGACCGAACAGATATCTTGCGCTACTCCCATCACTCAGCCCCTTTCGAACGTTAGGTTTAGTTACTGACTTTGAACGTTCTTGTTGGGTGTTTACAGATGTGTTTCGTCATGTCCAGTCAACTGTTTATTAAGTGTTTTGTTTTGTGAGGAATCTTTGCCTTTTTACTTTTCAATTAAACTTTTTGTGTGTTTCTTGGAAACCGAACGGCTTTGTCCTTATTAACAAAACTCTCTGAGGCTCAGCCCGGGAGAAAAACAAATCAGCAACAAGAACCCGCATCACAAATTGGCGTCCGCGACAGGACAATTTGTGATGCGGGTTCTTGTTGCTGATTTGTTTTTCTCCCGGGCTGAGCCTCAGAGAGTTTTGTTAATAAGGACAAAGCCGTTCGGTTTCCAAGAAACACACAAAAAGTTTAATTGAAAAGTAAAAAGGCAAAGATTCCTCACAAAACAAAACACTTAATAAACAGTTGACTGGACATGACGAAACACATCTGTAAACACCCAACAAGAACGTTCAAAGTCAGTAACTAAACCTAACGTTCGAAAGGGGCTGAGTGATGGGAGTAGCGCAAGATATCTGTTCGGTCTCACCCACACGCTGAATTCCGCCGACGATGAGCAAACCGGAACGCGGTGATTCCGGCTTCAGGACGCGGGCAGGACGGGGATGAAGGAACGCTGGCTGCTGACGACACGTCGAGAAACCAGGCCGGAACGTGGTGGCTCTGGCTTTAGGAGTGTGGACCCGTCTGTGACGAGAGAACGCAGGCTGGTGGTGACGCGTCAGAGAACCAGGGTCGACCTAGTCAAGCAGCTGGGCGCACAGCTCGGGCCCGGAGCCCGACGGCTGTAGCTCGCCTGCCGGAACCAAAGTCCGCAGGCCCTGGAAAGGAGTTCAGGACCGGATGGCCACGGTCCTTTGGAGCGGGAACACGACGGCAGGAGGCCCTGGCCGGTTGAAGACCTGCAGGCTCGGGTCCTACGCCCGACGGCCCATCTCAGCGCCCGGTCTGGTGACGACCCTCCGCTTGCCCCGTCTTCTTCGAACTCCCCTTGCTCTGGTCTGCTCAGGCTCCTGCTTCAGCTCTGGCCCACTTGTCTCGTTCTGATTGGCCTTTCAAAACTCCGTGGTGATCAGCCATTGGCCCTTGTTTCTTTATGGTCTTGGATGCTTGCGCTCCACGCTCTCACGTGTACCGGTCCTCGGCGTCGTCGTTGTTCAGGCGACCCAGCACGTGCACTCGGTCATCCTTTAATTCGCGCACTTTTCGAAGGCGCGCACTTTGAACGCGCACCACACATCACATACGCCCCCCTTTCATTCAAGTTTTTTTTTTTTTTAGAAAAAAAAACTGCCGATGAGTGCGCGTTCTGCACTACGTCACAATTACACCACATATTTGCACCACGCAGTTCAACACATCACACCGATGGCGCCACACTGCTTCTTCGTTGACATGTCTCACGT